CAATTTAATGAATTAATTACAATTGAACTGATTGCAATTTTATGGCATATATCATGAAGTTATCACTGAATTAAACCAATGAAATTTATTTTTGTAATAAATTTTAATAATAAATCTATGGAACATTTAATAAACTTTGTTATATCAACTTTATTATATACTTTGTTCGTTTTTATACATCAAATATAATTCCACATGTAATAGTATTGATACTAATCAATGTAGCATAATGATATGATAATTGATAGTGTAATAATATGATACTAAATTATTTGATATAGGTGTAATGATATGGTGATAGATGATTTATGTTAATAAGTAACTCATTTACATTATCAATGTTAATCAGTTAATATAAGCAATCGTATGTGAACAACATCAGTTAATCAATTAATCTATGTTTAGGATTTGTAGTTTTTTTTTAAGCTTTCAACTAACTTCTTCTAAAAGTTGAAATATTGTTTGCGAGATCATTTATGTGTAATTAATGCTATCATAGTTAATGATAATGATAATAGAACGTAAATTAAGATGTTATCAACATCAATTGAAATATCTCGAAAATATGATAGTGAAAGTTATTTAGTAAATACAACAACATGTAATGAAGAAAGCTGACTAATTAAAAGGGACTAATTTAATATTAATTTATGACAGATTTTATAGACTGCAGGATTCATCGAACATATTTCTACATTACCTGTAATTAAAAATGCTGTAATTAATGGTCTCCTGATGCTATGAAATGTCAACATTTTATTAGTCTTATAGTGCGGAAAAAATTTTCATTCAATACTTTTAAATAGTAAATGCTTGGTAAAATTTTGAAAATTTTCGACATTTTGTAAGAAAAAAAGGGACAAATTTTGGAATACATGAAATCGAGAAATTATAGACATATATTATCAAACTCTCGAAAAGACTTAAAACAATTAAAATAGTAAATTCCAAAAACAATAAAAATTTCCTTGCAAGATTTAAAATAAAAGTTTCTATTGAAAAAAAAATCGTGATTTTAAAATTTCACAAAAATCAGGAATTTATGAAATTTAGTGAAGAAAAAAAAACAAAACATTATAAAAAGAATAGTAAATATTCTGCAGATTGAAAACACTTCATGAAGAAATTTAAAAAAAAAATGATAATAAATAAAAATGGTGAAAGAAAACAAAATGTGGTAAATTTTAAAAAAAATTAGTGTAAAAGAAAAAATGATAAATTGAAAAATTTCGAAATTATAAAAAGAATTGACAGTTTGATTTAAATTTTTATTAAAACCATTAAATATTTTTTTAAAAATATAACCAATATTTATGCAATATTTTAAGATTTATTCAATAACATACAATCATTTGCAATGATTAAATCTAATCAATCAATGAACCAATAACAATGATAACAAAAATTGATAACGACAATTGATTACTTAGTTAGCATTTCTATACGTTTATCATTTATGATGAATGTTTAGGAATATTGTAGCCATGTAAACTATTAGAAAAAGGAAAAACAAATAGCACAATGTAAAAGATGATGATATTGAAATGTATAAGGAAGGAAGGAAGAAAAAAAAAACAACAATATTTGTAGGAGTGTATGCCTAGAAATTGCCCATTTAAGCAATAACAAATAATTTAAATCCCCTGAATTGTTCAATTTTATTTTCTGCCACTAAACATAATTCGTCATTCGTCCTTCCAATTATTCAATTATTATTTCATTGATGGAAGCGCAATAGACGGAATGGAAAAAGAGGAGGGAATAGGACAAATGGTAAGAGTATTATTTGTCAAGATGTGTCATTCTTTTTCACACCCAACTTTCCATTACAAATCATTGAAGGGAATTTTTATTGAACCATTTGGTTGAATCATGTTTGTTTAATGAAGGAAAAGTTATATGACCATTTGTAGCCTTTAATAGATTTGATGAAATTGTGACCATTTATATCGTTTAACAGATTGGATAAGAAAAAAAAAAAAAAAAATTGAAAATATAGAAGAGAAGAAAAGCTGCTTAGGTATAATTCATTCATTCATTCATTCATTCATTCATCATTCTTTCATTTATTTATTTATTTATTCATTCATTCCTTCATTCATTCACTCATTCTTTCATTTATTCATTCATTCTATTTGAGCATAAAGCTGTACGATGAGAATTATTTCTTCATCGAAGCTGTTCCTTTCATTTTTGCTTTAACAAACAATCATTTCCTTCGATCTACTTATGATATTTCATAAAACTATCAATGATATTTTGGCTATTACTATTGTTATTAATATTATTTTATTGTAATTTATAAAATAATCAGTAATAATTATGATAAAGTTATCATTATTATTATTGTTACCATTATTATTATGATTTATTATGATTGTCATTATTATTACTATTATTATCTTTATCATTATCATTATTGTTACTTTACTTTCATAGTTATTAATCATTATTGTATTTGTAAGTACCAGATATTGATAGGCAAATGATTATATGGTTATGATTAACATGCATTGGATGATAAGAAAAATATGAAAGTTTGTAAATGATTACGGAAATTTTAACGATTTAAATATTCTTCAACAATTTAACGACTAATTAAATGAATTTACATTTGACATACAAAAATGTTTAATACAATTTTAACAGCAATTTTATTTAATAATCATTGATTATTGATAATTTTACATAATATTTATTGTGTATATCTTATAGGGATAGAAGGATAATAAACCGAATTCATTACCTGAATATATTCTGAATGTTTTAATTAAATAAACTAGATCGGATGGATTGATAAAAGAAGGTAGCTAATATTATACAAATGAAATAATTAATTTCTAATCATAACTCTTACTTTTACTATAACTTCTTGATTGCGAAATTGAAATTGAAATAAAGCTAAATTCATGATGTATTGATTAATGTTGATTGTTGGCTTAATCATGGCCCAATAGCAAGAAAATAGCATTTTAGCCAACGGCTGTTACATTTGGAGAATTGTGCAAAAGGAAATGGCCTGGTCACCATGGCTAATCATATTTGTAATCATTGCATGCCTTATGATTATCGCTAGCATTATCGTCGCTATAATTTATTTCAGGATTGATAGCAAAAGGCGAACAATGTTAAGGGGTTTGTTTCTTTTAATCATTATCTTATCAACGATTCTATAATTCGAAATTTTGCTTATTTTCTTATCAAAACTTAATGCAAAATTATTTTCCTTATCATATGCAAATTTTATTATTTATATATCAGATATGAGAGTTATATGTTGAAGTAAATGCTGTTTTGGATAAAAAGTGTATTTTGTTAAATTATTAAATTTTAATTTGATTATTTTTTTCTTATTTTCATTTCAGAGAATTATCCTATACCACGGGAAATATGAAGAATAAGATAATACTGCTACTGTTGCTATCAATAGTTATCAACGTTATTACTAAAATTATCGAAACACTAGCTTATATTTTTCGTCATCATCACAATCAATCTTATATAACGCAAAATGATGTGACTATTAATTAGCTTGCTTATAATTTGCACGTCTATATTTTGCTTTATTGTTACGTAAACTGTTGTTGCATTTATTTCTGGTATTTTCGGCAATACGGGGAATGCGGGGGAAGGGGAGCAGAAGAATGTGTGCAGTTAATTTTTCTTGTATCTTCTATCATTTTAATTACAAATTAAACTTTTGTAAGATTTCTTTTCAAGCAGTTGCTGATAATTTGTAATATTTTTTGTTGGAAGATTTCAAATTTCTTCCTGAAATTTATTTATTTACACTTTTTTTTTTTTCATAAGCATTGATCGATAGAAGCAGTTGCTATTTCAAATCATTTCAATTTCAGTGTTTATATTCTTGTAGTGTACAGCAAATGAAAAAAAAAAAATTCTGCTAATTTGATGTATATTTTAATTTGGTAATTTTCATTAACTTAATTAAAATTTAAATCAACCTTGAAGTTCTTCGACATCTTTCCCTTCTATCCTCCCATTCTTCTCCAATTAATTTAAACATATTTGTTCTCTTCTCAACATCATCATCATCATCATCATTACCATCACCATTATTAGCACTTTCTTGTGCATATTGTATAATCAAATTGAATTTGATGATGTCTTATGCCAAAAAGTTTACTTATCATTGTTTCCTCTTATCATTAACCTTTAATCAATGTATGCACTTAACCTAATGGTAGATATACAATTTAATAGATAATTTCAAATCAGATATAAAGTGCTATTTTATTTGATATAATTATGAATAATGTAATATTATTATCATTTTTGTAAATCATTCATATTGTCGTCAACAATTTATTAAAAATTTGCTCAATATTTTAACTTTAACTCTGGGATCTTTTCTTCATCAAATACTTTTACTGATAAATGTTATCACCGATATTGTGTCACTGTATTATAATCATTGTATCTTTGCTTTATTAATTACGAATAAAGAAACGACAAAAAAAAAAAGGTTCTAATACTTTTGATTAATATCAAATAATATTTGTTGCAAAAAATTTTTCAACCTAATTAATCAATATTTATTCAAAATAAGAAATAACACGTGTCAAATATTTCGACAAAATGATTCAATTTATTAATGCTCATTAGCTTTTGACCCAATCTAAAATTCATTAAGTTTAAAATTCATTAAATTCATTAAGTTCTAATTTAATAATGCTCACCATATTTGTAAGTATAAATTTTATCTTTTTTAAAAAAAAAGTCTTAAAAAATTGTTAAATAAATCAAAATACTTTTGTTTACTTTTATTTTTCGTTTCTTTTTTCATTTGTTTTTATTGTTGTTGTTGTTGTTGTTGTTGTTGTTGTTGTTGTTGTTGTTGTTGTTGTTGTTGTTGTTGTTGTTGTTGTTGTTATTGTTGTGTTGTTGTTTTTGTTTTTGTTTTGTTGCATGTTATGAATGTGTAACAAACATGAAATAATTTAGCAAATAAACAATACAACATAAATATTTTATCATACTGTCTTAGTCGTTGTTGTCTTATGTTGATGAATAACGCCTAATGGCGCACATTGTCCATGACATTCTGCTCCTTGTCGTGATGTTTGTTTTGGTATTAGATCATCTCCAACTTCATAGTTTACTACACCAATACCATTTAATGTCACCTGTATAATCGATTTATATAAAATTTAGCTAACAACAATTGATAACGTTTTGTTTTCATTCATTTTCAATGAAATAACTTAGTTAATACTCTTATTTAATTAAGTTAAAATTAAATTTTTTCATTCGATTCATATCTATTGATCGAGAATTATCATTTCATGAAAGAATTCTAGGAAAGATAAGCTTACTTTTACACTTTCTTCTTTCTTACTCGAGAATGTTTTTATTTGAAATGGTCCTAAGCCACATTTATCAGCTTTCTCTTGAAAGATTAATCGTTCGCTTTTGTTTAAAAGCTTCCTGAATTACCATTGATTAGTGCAGTCCTCATGAAATGTTAAAAGAAATTGAATCCGTTAAAAGCATGAAGTGTCATTTACTTCATTCCTTGAATTCTCTTTCATCCAGCTTATTAAATTAAAAAAAAAAAAAAACGATCAATAATATTCACCATAATTGTCGTTATGTTCGATGAAAATAAACTTAAATACTCTAAATTAAGCATAACACATGAATATATATTATCAAGAGAAGGATATAAATTTTTTAGGTACAAATTTTAAGTATGAGATTTTTATGAATACAAATTTTTTTTATAAATAAAATTTAGCATTTAAATACAAGAAATTTTTTTAGGGATAACAAACATAAATTGCTTGATTTTTAACTGGAAAATAAAAAAGGAAATTTGAATATCAAAAAAAAAAAAGGAACTAACTTCTCACTAGCATTACCATTTGGAGCAATAATTTGTGCATGAAATGGTGCTTGAGTAAGTGACTTCACACGTATGATAATATCACATCCAGTTGTTGTTCCAATAATTAAACTTATACAAAATATTACTGATAGTATCATCATTGCTGAGAAAAAAAAAAAAAAGTTAAATTATATGGAAGGAATAGTAATACATATAAATAGTTAGTCAAAGAAATTTAGAATGGAATGATTAGATTGTTATCTATTTACTTGACATTGAACAATTAAATGATATCAAGCGAAAAGATAATTATCTTATAAAGCAAAGGGTAATATTTAATAATAGCAATATCAATAGGAGAAGGGAAAGATAGTACTATAATAATATATTACTTTAGTTACTATCTAATAATTAACAATAATAAATGAAATTCTCAAATCTTCTTATTTAAAAAATTATCATAATTATCAAATAGCTATCAAATTATCACTATTGATAAGAGGCTTAATTAGATTTTTCATTTTATATATTACTTTAGTTACTATCTACTAATTAACAATAATAAATGAAATCCTCAAATCTTCTTATTTAAAAAATTATCATGATTATCAAATAGCCATCAAATTATTATTATTGATAAGGGGCTTAATTAGATTTTTCATTTTAATTAAAATTATTAAATCATTTATTTACAATTGACAGTTCGTTATTAATATGGAGCACTTGTTTTTTTCAAACTTGCATTATTATCATGATAATCAACTCGAAATTTGTGAGAAAAGGAAATTACTAATTAAGGAAATTAATTAATTCAATTCTAAAGATAATATTGTATAATTGATACATTTACAGGTTTATGTAATTAATTCTGATTTGAGTTAAAATCATTTGTAACTTTAATTTATAATACATTTAAGAGTGAATTAATTTAATTCCCAAAATTTTCAATAAATCTCTAGTTAATTATGATGATATCCATTAAACATTTCATTTTTCTCTTTTTGTCCATATGGAAGAAAATGATAAAAATTCGTACAAAGGAATAAAATGGCAAAGAGCTATCAATCAATGGTTGCTATCTTCGATGTAACAAATTAAAACTGTAACATTGTTGACTTCTCAAACTTGAAATAAAATTTTAAAGAGGAGATAACATACTTGATATATAAGTAAGCGGATGACACATACATACATACATACATACACACACACACACACGCATACATACATACAATACATACACAAATACATAAATCACTTTGTTTAATCCTTCTACACTTTTGTTTTTGTCTAATATACTGGTCGTAGTTGATTATATCAGTTTAGTTAACAATCTCAACATGATAATCAAAAATTTGAAATGGATAAAATTTTAATATTAATACTATCTTAATATGATCTTAAGATTTAGCATTATGCTTTACATGTGTGCATACTGCAAACTGCAAACTGCAAACTGCAAACTACATTATTAATCAGGAAAATAATGATATAACCATTTATGTGAATGGACCAATATAGGAAAATACAAATGGAACCAATCAACATTCAACTGTCAATTAATCAATTAACACTTCATTAGTGTTAATTAATTTAGGAGAAAAACGAAAGAAGCAAATAAAGAAAAAGAGAAAAAGTAATGGGTTAAAAAAAGATTTCATTGGTGGAAATTATTTGAAATAATGTGATGTTATCATGTTAATGTTATCATTACTATTATTAATTTATCTTTTTTAAAAATACAATTTGAAAAAAAGTAAAAAATCGATAAATGAAAGATTTAGAATTATGGGTGAAAAAAAAAGGATAAGAAAGCGATGGAATGAAAATTAAGCAATCATTAGAATTTCAATGGAAAAAAAGAACGAAATTTGAAAAAATTAGATATTATTGGAAATAATTTGCAGCTGTTGTTGTTTTTTAATGTCTGATAATTTACTACAATCCTTTCGCATTCAGTTTTCTTGCTCAAAAACTTTTTTCTCCCCCGAAATAATCATTCTCGAATTAATGGTTCCCTAATCTCTCTATCATTTCGTCAAATCTGCAATAAAAAAAGAAAAAACAGAGGAGAAAAAAGGTCATCATCATCATCATCATCATCATCATCATCATCA